TAGGACACAAAACTTTCTTGAAGAAAGAATAGTGAACAGGATTGCATCCCACCTCAAACCCCTTACGCGGCCGTGGACACATATCAGACAGCACATGGGCCACCTCCTCTGAGTGGCACTGACGTAGAGCGGAGGTCAGCCACCTTCCTGTGAATGACCACACGGTAAATATTTTGCGTTTGTGGATCACACGGACTCTCAAGCAACTATTTAACTCTGGCGTTGTAACAGAAAAGCAGCGGTTGACAGTACATAAGCCAGGCCGTACTCAGCTCACAGGCCATTCCTTGCCAGTGGAGATGATGGGAACGAGGGAAGAAAGTCTTCTGAACAAGAAGAACAGCTGGAGCTGGAGTTGGGTGAGCCTATAGACAAAGAGAAGGCAGTTCAAGCTCAGGGGATGTAATCCATCATTCCAAAAAGATGGGATTAAAATCTTGGTGGTAGACTAGACTAAGTGTTGGGATTCAGCCAAATGCCAAGCCCAGGGCACCACCTGTTCTCAGCTTCGGGCAAAGAGAGAGCCAGAAGAAGGAGTGTCAGTGTATAGCTGAGGGTCACATTTCTCCAGGAGAATCATCGGATAAACACAAAGCAACACAAAACTTTGTCTGCATGTGCTGGGCCTCGGGTGACTATGAAAAGGCAGCATCCTGGGACCGAGCTAAGCTCTCCCTGCCGACCCAGGACATGGAGTAATTGGGTATATACACGTGCATTTGTGCAAAGCATTCCACACAGAGGAGGCAATCAATTATTTATCAAATGGACAAATTCATTACCTCTAAGCCCACAGGACAAAGCCTAATTTGTCTACCATTAGCAAATGACTCCTTGCTATTAATCTGGCCAAGATTTCTATTATCCATTCATCCATCCACACTCACTCAGCAAGTCACTATTGTGGTTTCGGATTTGGGTTCCACACCCAGAGAGTCCGTGCTGGGGCCAGAATCCCAGAAGAAACGTCAGAAGCACCGGGAGAGCAAGGCCAGCCTAAAACCCTCACCAAGTCTGCAGAAAGGCACCCTTGGAGCTTTGCCAAGGTGGCCGGTGGCTTTTGGGGGTTTCTAACTAGACCTGGCAGGGACTGTACACTTAGGGGCTTCAGATGAAAGAGATCAGGGCTTGCTGGCTCCCAGTGCCCTGGGACTCCTCTCCTGTCCTCCACCCAGGGCGGAGGAGACGGAACTGGGCCGCAGCTGTGCAGGGGCTGCTGTGCACGCGTGGTCTGTGACCCTCCTTCTCAGGCCAAGGACTGGGCCACCGGGAGCTTTGCCACAGGTCCAGCGTTGCATGTAAAATTGTTCTTCAGTATTAAAGAAGCTGTTTTTTTATGTTTAGTTCCATTTATATGTGCTTGAATGGGGTGTGTGTGTGTCTTAGGGGGAAAGGCATGTATATTATAGCCTGGTTCATACTTATCACTAACCAGGGACTCTCTACCTGGAGTCAATGGATGGAGGTATCAGAGAGTTTATAAACCTCCAGATATTTTGTACAAAATTGGAAAGACAGGCTTCAGAGCCTTCACCAGATTCTCAAGGGGGACTGGGACCTCGGGGAGACCAGAAATCCTGGCTCCAGAAGGACTTGGCTGGTGACTGCGGGAACCCAGTACCCCAGCCGCCTTCCTGATCTCATGTCACAGCGCCCCAGGCCGTGGCTCTTGCCAGGACGCCCTGGCTCACTGCCCAAGAAGGCAGGCTCTTGTCTGAGTGCGTTCTGCCACCTACAGCACGCAGCCCAGCAAAGCCACCAACTCGGCAGCAGAAAGCCCAAGGCTCTGCCTCTGTGACAAAGGGGAGAGCTGAGCCCTGCCCCCAGGTCCCTGTCCCCCCCCCCCCCACCTGGAACCCTCCACTGGGAGGAAAGGTCTGGGGATTCCTGATGAATATTCAGAGATGCAAATTCCTCGGGCTGGGTTACAGCCAGGGGAAGATATTTTTACCTGAAAGGGAAAGGGGTAAGCCCGGGGGATTAGCACCTGAGAAGTGTGCTGTCCACAGCCAGAGAGGACCGCACTGGGAGGAGGACCGTAGGAGCCCGCAGGCTCTCACGGTAAATTGACCCCCACGTCCCAGCATGGCCTGTGTTCCTAGGTCCGAACAGATCCTCTTTGCCTTCTGACTTGTCCCATAATGAACACATCTGCTTCAGAAGGTGTGATTTCCCAAGACGTGTGAAGTGTGGACACAGCGTCGTTTTCCCAGTGTGCGTACATCGTCGTGAAGGGAGCTGGGCACTCTTTGAGGACAGAGACTGTGTGAGTCTCATCATCATGTCTCCAGCCCCTAACAGGCACGTAGGAGGAAGTTCAGTGAACGCTTTTGACTTCAATAGTAAGAACGTGGTTTGTTTTGCGAATAGATAATCATAGTGTCTACTATTTGTTGGACATGTTATCGCAAATTCCCACAACCCTATCGGGATGGGTATTGTTTTACAGGTGAAACCGATACCCAGCACAGGAAGTGGCTTACCAAAGACATACACCTAACAGCAGTCAAAACCCACACCGAAAACTCTCAGCTTCTACGTCCCTGCTTGTCCCACTCCACCCAGGCACCTCATGTTCCATAAACTCATTTCTCAAGGATGGGACTAGACCAAAAGGAAGTGGTTTGAAAACCTTTGTAACTTTTTTCATTAAAAAAAAATGTTTTCCCAATTCTTAGACTTTATCTGCAAACTTCCCTTATGCTCCTAGCTTAGATGCCAATGTCGTCTAAGTCTGTCTGAATCTAGGAGTGGTTGGTTCTCCTTGGATGGACAATCCGTCCTTAGCTCGATTTGCAGAGGTGACTGTGCAATCCTTACTCCGTTTGGTCCCGGCGTCGGTGGCTGGGGAAGACGGCAGCTGGTCTGTGCCTTGCACATACCTTGATTCCAGTCAGGGATTCTTAACAGAGGAACACACACACACACACACACACACAGACTTCATAGAGTTAACTACACAGTATCCCGTCCCCTTTCACAGGTCTTTCCTTATTAACAATTTAGGTTTCAAAAAGGAGTCCAAGCTTAGTGAGAAGATAGACAAGATTGAAGACATCCCTTAACTACCCCAGAGCTCATGGCTGTGCAGTCTCATTCATAGGGTTGTTGAGTGGCCGTTTCCTTGGCTCACGTTGCCCTGGTATTGGTCCGGCTTGGAAGTCTTGCTCTCGCCTTCCAGAGAAACTGCAAGTGGAAGGAGAGTACAGCTGGCCCTAAAACAGGGCTCGTGGTCTTGGCAAAGTTTAAATCCTCAGTAGGTAAAAGGGCTGAAGGATTTTTCTAGATGAAGGTAATCTTGATTATCAGTGGCAGACTTGAACGGACAGGAAAGGCATGGAAAGGGTTGAGGGTCCCAAGAGAGTGATATTTGAGCTGAAAACCATGGGATTTGTACATATCTTGCTGTCTATACTTATCTGTCACAAAGCCCAGCATGTATAGGACGGTGGCCCACAAATTTTAGTAGCATTTACCAGAATGAGCTGGGAGTATGGTTTTGTTTTTTTTAATGCAGGTCAAGGCCCCAACTCCAGACCCAGTGAAACAGAAAGAACAGGGCCTGGAAATCTGCAGTTTAAGTAATCAGCTCATTTGGTTGTTACAGAGATGTTCCTTAGAGCGCACTTGGAGAACACTGACGTAGAATGGTCCTCCCATCTTTCTCAGAATCACTCCTCAAATGCATCCATTCATTTGAGCCAAACCTAGGAACATAGAGATGAAAGGCACACTCTTGGCATTCAAGGGGTTCAAGGTCAAGTGGAAAATGTCAATAGACGCGGAAGCAGATGGTGACAAAACATGAATAAGTAAGTTCATGGAGCAGAAGGAGCTGAGTTCTATGGGAGAGCTGTAGTGAGGCACCAACTCAACCAGTACGGGGGGAGGGTGTCACAGCAGAAGTAATATGTCTTCAAGGTTAAGTGGGCATTAACCAGGAAGAAGGGAGAGAAGAATGCCAGGTAGAGGGGAGCCAGTAGACAAAAAGCAATGGAGCCTCTAGGGTGGTGTTCAAGGTGAGAAAGGGCAGAAGAGTGGGTAGAGAAGAGCTGATGAAAGTGGAAATCGCACATCTGCCTTTCATAAAACGACGTTCTTCCACGGGGGAGGGGGACACATTGCCCATGTGTGTGTATCACACTAAGTGCAGCAGCTGGGGGTTCCTTATTCCAAGTTGTGGTCTTTGTCCTCTCAGATACTCTCAATGCAGCGTAATTCTGATAAGCTTCCAACGGAGAAGGAATTCAGAAAGTCCAAGGCAATCTGAAATGGATTTGCCTCTTGTTTCATTCATTAATCTTTGTCATCAGACATCTTGGAGTAAAGGAAAGCTGAAACATCTAACCGAAAGTGACCACGTGCAGAACCACCGAGAAAGCTCCCACACTGAACACATGTCAGCGTATGTTATTGACATTATCATCGTGTGTGAAATACAAAGGAGTGCATAAAAAATTAGTGTCCATCGTGGGCCTCTGTGAGAAGTAGGATCAAAAAAAGGATCTGTAGTTGCCACTTTGTTCTTTCAAGTTTCAAAGGTGGCTTTCACTGCTACATAATCTCCATGAACTAGCCTTGCGATGCACGGTGGGTGGTTTTACAAACAGGAACAACAACAGAGTAGAAATCAGCACACGCTGTGTTCCAAGGCAGAGTTTTTTCCTTTAACCGGAGAGAACCATTTGATTTCAGAATAGAGCTGCATATATCCATCCAACTGTCTGGACAGATCGTGTGTGTGTGTGTGTGTGTGTGTGTGTGTGTGTGTAAATCACATTCAGCTATAACGTGATATTATAAATGATAGTAAAATAATTGGATTTTGTCAAATGTTGGTAATATTTCTTTTCCTCCAAACTTGTGTAGAGAAAATCAAAACCAGAGGGAAAAAAAGAAAAGTACCCTCAAGCTTCCTAATTGATTCCAGCTGTTCACATTATTTATTGCAAATAATATTATCAAGTAGTGAAACACCCACGCCTTTGAACTTCTTGCAGTTGTGTGTAATACTGGAGCCAATGCAGGAACTGATGTCGAGACATAAAACTTACAACCTCAGTCCACGGGACTGCCTGAAGACCTGCTTGTTTCAGAAGTGGCAGCGGATGGTGGCACCGCCAGGTACGACCTCGCTCTTCACTCTCGTTCTGACCGCACTTTCTGAGGCTCCTTGTGGGGATGAGATGTGAAGATGAAGGAAGTGATCATAAAGTTATCAGGAGTTTACCAGGGATATTCTCACCATGCTTTTGGACGAGAGGCATTGAATTGGCGAAGGGCAAACACGCTTAGGAGTTATCAACCATCTCACTTGCCAGACTAGGACCAGAAACCCAGGGAGGGAAATTGATTTATGAAATGTTACTGAGGAGATCTTTGGCAATGCTCAAATCAGATCCCAGGTTTTCTGTCTCGCAATTCAGTGGTAGTTCCACTGGACAAGACTTTTTTGTTTTTTATTGATTTTAGAGAAAGAGAAAGGGAGAGGGAGAGAGAAATATAAGCATTGGTGAGAGAGAAACATCAATTGGCCGCCTCCTGCATGCCCCTCACCAGGGATTGAGCCCACATACTGGGCTTGTGTCCTGACCAGGAATCAAACCAGCGATCTTCTGGTGCATGGGTCGATGCTCAACCACTGAGTCACACCAGCTGGACCCAAAATCAGTTTTGTTACTAAGCAATGAAGGAGGCCTGTGTCACAATAGGTATATGTCTCCCAAGTTCATGAATCTATTACCATAGCGACCTACTATCAATGGAAGTCATACAGCATATGCAATTTAGGTGTATTTTCTCAAAATTTCATGAAGAAAGTCTAGATATCATAAAAAGTATCATATTTCGATTTTGAGCTCAACTGAAGAAGATGCTTGTCAGGGGAACTCTGGGTATTGGCTTGACTTTAGAATGTGCTACTCAACTCTCTCCAACCCCATGAGCTAGAAGAGTTCTATTCCCTTGTTTCCATAGTCTTCCGAAAAAGTACCACCTATGGATAGAGATGTTGGGCCCTTTGATGAAAATATTTAAATATAAGAGACAAAATATTTCTGAAAGAAGAAAAGGTATATAATTAGAAACATAATTCACTTCTTCATCAAAAGTCACGAATAATTTGGTAGGTGAAGCAATCTTTGAAATGAGCCTTAAAGGAAGTTCTCTCTGTCATCCATCCGAAAATGCTACAAGGCCCTCTTGTTTAGTTTCAGCATGGCCCTGGCTTGTCTACTCTCCATCAGAGTTGAGTCTATAGTAGGGTTAGCAAAAATGATACTCTTACCTGCCATTCTCAACTTATTTAGTAACTGCCTAGAAAAGGCTTTGAAGACTAACATTTACAAGACAAAGATTATGTCATTACTTAGTCAATAAGAGGTGCTACAAATATAAAATGGTTATGACATAAAAACATTAAAAATAGAAAATAAGAATATGGTAACACTGAGTAATGCTCAATACATAATAAATGGATGTATAACATCCCTCTTACCACACATTACCATGAATCCCTATATTTTCAATAAGATGCTACCCATTCTTTAGGTGTAAAATATTTTTATTTCCAAACAGGCTTTGCTTGAAACGGTCTAGCTTCCCTTCATTATATACTAGCTGTAGCATACTAAGTTTGTTTTTGTTTGTTTGTTTTCAGAATTTTTAGATTAGTAGCATTCTTCAAATACCATGATCTGAACCATGGAACTTGGGCACCATACTAAGCTTGGTACTCTCCGAGTTTTGCATTCACCGCTGATAGAACTGGCACTTCCTCTTCTTTTTAGTTCAGCATTTCAAGGTGTAATAGAGCTGAGCTGCAATGCAACACTCGGTCAGTAGGTGCTGCCGTTCCACACTGGCTCACTAATATAACGAAGTTTCTACTTTTTCTCACACCTTGGAGGAACCCTAGGGATCCCAGAATGCTCCTTGTTTTTTATAGAGAAAACGTAAACAAGAGAAAAAAAATCTTTTCCCAAATTTTATAAAGGTAATTATCCTTTTAATTCAACTATGAAAGTAGTATTTGTAGCTTACTCTTAACATATATTAATAGATTAAAGGCATGTATATGAAATTAGAAATAACAATTAAATGCAAAACATTTCATCGAGCTGCAAAGGAAAGGAGTTGCACACGTTTTGTGCTCAAAATCAGCCAACAGCTGTGCCCTTCTGTTTTTTGCAAAGTTAAAAGAAATGGAAAATATGTAAAGAGGCTACTCCTTTTCATTTACAAAAGCATCGACAGAGGGACAGTATCTGGTGGCTGACCTGGACCTGACCCTCCCTCCCTTTTCCATCTTGCAGCAGAACCCACAAGGCAACCGACAACAAAACGGAGAAAAAGGAAAAACTCCACCAGCAGCACATCCAACAGCAGCGCGGGGAACACGGCCAACAGCGCCGGAAGCAAGAAGAAGACACCGGCCGCCAACCTGAGTCTGTCCAGTCAGGTACCTGTAAGTCTCGCTTTCCTTTTAGGCCCGAAATCCTGCCTTTGCCTGTCCTCCACCGCCAGGGGCCCATGTTCCAGTCTCTTTCAGTTGCAGATATATTCTGGGCAGGAGGGGGGGGAGGGGAAGGCAGGGCTGGGGCTGGGAGGGGAGGGAGGAACTCTGCCATGGAAACCTTCCCCTGCAGGCTGGGAATTGGAAGGGAACATTAAGAGTCTGTGCTGCAATAGGACCTGAATTAAAAAGCCATCAGAGTCACAGGCAGGAGATATGTCATTTAAGGTTTAATTAAAATACCACTTCGCAGTGTGCCCAGTGGCATGTGAGGGGCGCTCGCACGTCAGTGAGACCCTGTGCCCCGCTGGGGGTCAGCCCTGGCGCTCAGGCTTCCTCTGGGAACAGGCCTCCCGACAAGGGCGCCCGCTCTTACTTTGACACCTCGGTAATTAACGCGGACACTGAACATGCAGCTCATGGGCTTCCCGTTACCCACCCTAGCTCACAGTGGAGGAGGGTCAGCCCCTGGTTTGGTCTCCACTCTCTTGACCTCTGCACCCCCTTCTTTCATTTCTGGGACTTGGCAAAGGAAATGGGCCACTTGGAGGGAAGCTGCTTTGAACTCCGAAGCGGACAGCCGAGGGGCATTCCCAAACAGGGCCAACTGTACAGAACCTTCTCCACCGTCTCTCATTTCTTTCCGATTCTGTCCCTTCTGCCTAATTTCCTCCAAAGTCCCCAGGCTGGGATTGGACCACTGATCACTTTAAAATGTTTACATTCCTTTAAGCGTTTGCTGTCTCTTCTCCGCACCACGACTGCGTGGGCTGCCTTTCTCTGTCTCATCCCCCGTCAGCGGGTGTCTGGCTGCCATGGAGCCCGACACTTTCTGGTGCTTTATGGAGCCCCTCCAGACCCCGCGTCTTCAGAAGTGTGCCCTATTTCATACTACTTCCCTCAGCCAACACAAGCTCACCTGTCCCTCTTTCTCGCCTTTTCCCCTCCTGGTCTGTCGTCACTCTTCATGTTCTGAATCTGCTCCATCTCTCTCCGTGGGAGAGTAGACCTTTCTTTCATGGTGATTCTCCATCTCTCCATGTGTCCTTCAGACTGTCCCCGCCCATTCTCACTCATCTTCCATCGGTCAGTTCTCTGGCTAAAACCAGCCCGTCAGTACCTGAGAATCACTGGGCCCCTGGGACTCGGCGGTGCCCACAGACAGAGTGTGGTCTGCCCTCGTTGAGTGGAAGGGTCAGGAAGAGAGTGCCCAGCCTGTGGGGAAGGTCCCGTTCAATGCTAAGCCACTAGGAACTGCAGTCCTTAAGTAAGGCCAGAGTTACCTCTGGAGTTTGAACTGGTTTATCGCCCCTAAAGAGTCAGGGAAACAATATATCAAAGGAGAAAAACAGAGTCTTTTTATTAAGGGACCGATACGTTATTCCCACTCCAGGTTAAATCAGAAAATGCAGAGAGAAAATGGCCTGATATAAATAAATCAACCCCAAAAGTCCACATAAGTAATCGATTTATTCACCTACTCCTGAAGTTTGAGAAACTAACATTTGTTAGTTTTCTTTAGTACATGAGAAAAGTACATTCCAGAGAATTCTGAAACTGTGGCATAGCTCCTTACAGGCACCGTGGCTACAGGAATTCAAATCAGTTCAGTGAGTGGTTTCTCAGCCCCTACAATGCCCCACACTATACTAGGTATTGGCAATACCAAGATTTTTTTGAAAAGGCCCCAGTCCCGTCATCTAACCATGGGAGGGCAGAGAGGTTCCCCTCTCCCGCCAGCTCAGTCTCCCGATGTCAGCTCACAGGATGGAGAAAGATTTTGCGCCCCAGGCTGGGTTTGGTGGGCCACCCATTAGTGATGTCTGCCTTGGGTGTACTTGACCTCATGCATATTTTGACATCCCGGGCCCGGTCAGAATCATTTCCATTTTATTTTAAAGAGCTCTTAGGTCATGTTGCTCCATCACGCTTCGGTCCTCCAATCCAACAACTGGATCTCAGTGGAAGACAACTGTCAAAAGGATTTCTAATGAGTTGAGACCCTTTGGACTTTAGGATGACAAGGCACGTGTTTAAAGTGAGGATAGAATTTCAGCACGGTCCCCACACTATGCAATTAAAGATGTTTTAATTATGTAAAACTTACAGAGGGTCTAGAGAGGCAGGGAAGGCAACCAGGTTAGGAAAAGGCGCAAACTTCTGTGTGTCCTCCAATGGAAGAGATGTTAAATGGTGAGCATTGGCTCGTAGCGATCACAGCTTGTAATCTGGTCTACCCAACTACCAACGATTTTACTGCTTAAATAGAAACGCGATCCGCAGACATGGCTGCCTCGTCCAAAGGCATGACCAGATTCGGTGTGCCACCACGACCACAGCCGTGGTCCGCGTGGCTGCCGTGGCAGCACTGGGTGTGTCTGGCGAGGACTAGGGTTTAATCCTTGGATTCTGCTTCTCACTCCATGAGCAGGGGCTAGGAGCCATCCCGAACTGCAGCCTCAACCCTGGGAGGGATGGAGACCTGTGTCATTCAACAGCAGTGACCCCTTCTGGCCAATTTAAGGAGAAGCATTGAGGGGCCCTGAAAGGAGTCACTTCCAGTCCTCCTCAGAGGTTGGTGGTCCTTGCACGGGGGATTGATTAGTGAGAAGATGTGACATGGGCAAAAGCTGGTGGCACCTCCAGGCCTCTGGCAAAGAGCAGAGGTCTGCCTTGTGGGGAGCTGAGGGCATACGGGATACTCTCCGCTGGCCCGGTATTGCCTGCTGGGAACACACGGATAGCAGAGATGGGAAGGGGGACTTTTAAAGATGTGGAGGGTGGGGAAAATGATGCCAATATCCCCTAGTTCGAGGCAGCCCAGGACATGCATTATGTCTCCTTTTGCTTTGCGTGAAGATAACTAGCCAGGGTTGCTTGAGCGGAGACCTACCCTAGTCTGGAGGTTGAGATATAAAGTCCTCAGCACACATCTCTTTGATAGCTTGCTGTCTATTAGTCACACACACACACACACACACGCACACACGTATACACGATTGTGTATCCGGCTAAGGATATGTCTTACAATCACTAAGGCAGCGTGGCATCTCTCGGAAATGTGGACTGCTTAAAAAATATCTGTGCCTGGGAATCTTTCCCAGCTGTTCTTAGAACAAAGATCCACCAAACAGATCACAAGCCGGTGTCAGCCCCCTTGGAAGAGATTCAAATCACTATTTTCATAGTACTTTTCTTGAATGACTGTTATTTTCAGATACAATGAAGGCATCTGGAGTGTTGGGAACTTTTTTTCTAATATCACGCTTAAGTTGGCTTCTTATTTTTCTCCACTTTTTCTCGTTATGCTTGCCTCCTCACCCTCTCCCAGCCTCTCTTGATAACTCAGACTCACAATACTAATGCACACCCACGCGGTGGGGTCTAACATTTTCCTCCTGCCCGGTGACACCTTACGCATGAGTCTTCTGAGCCCTTCAAAGTGTGCTGCACATTAAGTCACGAAACGAGGTTACCCCTCACCACGTCCCCTTCCTGGTCTCGCTCTATTTTTTCCACCTACCTTTTCCTTGATCATAAGCTTCTTCTCCTAATTTCCTGTAACTAAGTGGCATTCTTTTATCCTGAACGTCCCCAGTGGCTCATGTGGCAGCTGCCCTGGCTAACCAGATAACGTTGGCACCTCTGCGGAGGCCACTTTCTGTCTAAAATCACGTCAGCTTTCCTGCCCATCACATTCTGTGTCTTTTGCATCTCAGCTTAAGAGTCCTCCTGAGTCTCCTAACATGTCAGTATCATGTCTGGCTCTTCGCGGCATAATAAGCACAATCCTGGAAGCACACATCTGATTATCCCGCCAGTACCTATATTGCTGTGGGTACTCAGTTTATATTTTAGGCATTGACTTCATCTGGGACATTTCTCTTTAAAATCATTTTTATCAAATCACAAGAATGATTAGCCAGAAAACACAGTTTGGAAACCTATTGATTGTCTCCCCATAAGTCTGAGGAAATCAACCCATCAATCAAGCAAAGTTTTCCATCCCAAAGTAATCCAGGGGGTCGTGCAGGGATCTGTCCACTGGCACCTTCAAAGTTCTAGATGGGGTCAGAGAGCCTCTGGGCCTTCTCCTGGCCTGAACACAGGCAGTATTCTACTATACTGCCCCAGGAAAGCCCTCTCCTGCTCCAGTGAAGAGAAGTTTTGCCCAGTTGTCAAGGTGTTTCATCCAATTAGCCCCCCGCTCAGGGAATGCACCCTTACAGCTCAGAAGCAGCTGGGCACGCTCCTGGAGTCTCTGCACCTTTAAGTAGACTATTGCTCAGAGCCTGCCCAGCAGTCTCTACCTGGCAGGCGTCCTGTCCCACACCCAGGTCACCCACCAGCCCCATAGGTCCCCTTTGAACAAAGAGGCTGGAGCTGGGCCCCGGGCACCCATCCTGCTCCCATACCCTTGTGCCTCTCCAGCAGTGGCCTCCACCTGCTCCTGGCTACCCTAGGTGGCTCCCTTGTTTGCACGGAAGGACAATTTGCACTTAAAGGAGCGATCGGATGGATTCTTCTTGCACACTTCCATTTCTGATGACTAGCAGCTTCATCAGTGTAATTGTAATTAGCGCTCTTCATCTTCCTTTATGGCACCAGCTGGACAGCCTGGTTCTCCTCACTGCCAGACTGGTGGCAGGGTTGCCTGTGTGGGGATAGGTGACGAGCACCGTGAAATAACAGATGGTAAATTCAGGGCTTGTTGGCAATCAGCAGGTTTTTGCTAATGACTTAATTAGCTATGCAAATTGTCAAATCAGTGTGAACATTGTTTTTATCGAAAACTTTACCTAAATTAATTACCATAATTAAGTAGCAGAATGTCAAGGATATTGGCTGCATCCAAGGGCCTGGCTGAATAGAGAAAAGAGATTCTGTCTTCAATGGAAATGTGTCCCATCCTCAGCACCGAGGAGATGCTATTCGGAAGGGGTTTCGTGAATGTTCCAGAACCGCATCCTCCCCATGTCCGCTGCTAGTTCCCAAAGCCATTCCAAGGCCGGGAGTCAGGGCAGATTTTCGGAGGTTTTGAAAAGCACCCCGCAGAAGGTTCCACACCCCTCTCCGAAGTCCCCAGTGTCGGCAAGTTAAAAGCGTGGATTTTTTTAATTTTGAAAAATCCATTTTTTTATTTCTGCAGATTGCTAGCATTGCTCGTTCTCCGGTGTCAGGCTGCTCACTAAGGACATAAACTCGCGTGGTTGTTACCCGTCAGGAGGCGATGTTTATTTCCTGTAGAAATCAAATATGCATCTCGGCCCCCGACATTGAGACTTGACCCCGGTGTACAGCACACGCGCGTGTGTGTCCTAGGTCCCCCAGCTCCTCCCACTAGTGTTTTAAGCTGAGCTTCTCTCTCCCAAGGTTTCCCTGTAATAATGTCAGCTGCTGTTCACAGGATGTGATGGTGGTAGGAGAGCCAACTCTGATGGGAGGTGAGTTTGGGGACGAGGACGAAAGGCTAATCACTAGATTAGAAAACACGCAATATGATGCGGCCAACGGCATGGACGACGAGGAAGACTTCACCAGTTCACCCGCCCTGGGAAACAGCAGCCCGTGGAACAGTAAACCCCCCGGCACTCAAGAGACCAAATCAGAAAACCCCCCGCCCCAGGCTTCCCAGTAAGCTTGACCTGGAGCCCACTGTCAACGGCCCGTGGGTTACGCTCACTATTGCAGATCCCTACTCGCAGGAGAGGAAGGAGGGGACCTAAAAACTTTTTCACGCAAATACCTATTTCTAAACCACAACGATCTGAGTTTCTTTCTTCCACTTTTTTTTTTTTTTTTTTTTAACTGAGCGGATCATCCCAAATACACGTCCATGACCCTTCCCCGGAGGCCTTCACAGGTGACATAGATACAGGCACTGATCGTAACTAACAAGAGCAGAGTTAGCGCTTCTCCCGACGCGGTGTTAACCACACGCTTGTCCATTTCCTTTTCCCTGCATCCCACGGAGGTCGTATCGTCAATAAGCCCTCAGTGCTCAGGATCTCATGATATGCCGAACCCAGCTACAGATGACTTTTTAATATTGTAAAATATTTTCTGCTTTTTGACTTGCATCTGAGAGTTTCTTGTTTCAGTAAAAAAAGAAAAGAAAAAAAATCCGCTTTTGGAAAGTAATTTAAATGTACCCCCCACCCCTTCACCTTTTCTTTCATTGGGTAACAGCTAAGAGGGCCCAGCAGGGTAATTTATGGGCGAGCTAATGTCGATTGGTTCTCTAGCCCGAGTCGGTTCACTTGAGCCCGCGTGCTGAAACAAGAAATGTCTTTTTGTCATCAAAGACACCAAGGCAGTTTTCATGTAAGAGAGACACTTGGCCCCTTGAGAATTTATGCATTTGTAAAATTGCTGTTGATCCAAATATTTTCAAGCCATGTAATCCATTACTTTTGTGGGCAGTTTAATAAATCTGAAACTCTTTGGTGTTTTTTTATTGTATCTGAGTTGACCGTTGTTTCTTTTCATCATATATTTCTTGTATAATATTTTGTAAAGCCCTCGCCTGGTTCTTTTATGGGGATTTTTTTTCTTTGGGGGCAATGCCAGTGTATTTATGTGAAACTTTATAAGAGAACTAATTTTTCCATTTGCATATTAATATGTTCCTCTACACATGTAAAGACACAGTGGCTCCGTGTGTTATAAAACAGCTGTATTTTATGTATGCTTTACTGATAAGTGTGCCAATAATAAACTGTGTTAACGACCAAAGCAGTGCGTCCGGCTGTTTCTTAGCACAGTTAGAGAAATCTGCCCACAGTTATGAGAAGGATTGAGCTTGAATTTATTGCCCCAACGCCAAGAGGAGTGGAATTAGAAAACCTGTGCCATCTTTGATAAAGTAGGGATTCTTTCCCTGCTCACCGCGGTCTGCGTGGGCAGACACGGGAGCGCCTTCTCTGCGGGGCACTGTGCTGCCCGAGGACACAACAACGAGAAGGAAGGACTGGCCGGTGCTCCTGGAGGTGACCACATGGAAGGGCAGTGTCCTCCACATGCTGACTGCTTACTCTGAACCAAACAACTCGACTGCAGCTAGTCCTTACCACTCCACTAAGTAGGCATTAGTATCCCCATTTTTAAAAATATTTTATGATTTTTTGAGGAAGAGGGGGAGAGAGAGAGAGAAACATCAATGTGAGGGTGAAACATTGAGCAGCTGCCTCCTGCATACCCCCTACCAGGGATCAAACCTGCAACCCGGGCATGTGCCCTGACCGGGAATCAGATCAGCAACCTCTCAGTGCAAAGGATGATGCCCAACCAACTGAGCCACATCGGCCAGGGCTAATATCCCCATTTTTATAAATTAGTGCCTCACTTGCTTATTTTTCTAAAAAAAGTTTTCTATGCAGACAATATGGAAAATTTACTTGAGAACTTTTTTGTCTAAATAACTTTTCTTATATTTTCCCACTTTGTACCCATGAGGAAGATGAGAGAGAAAACCTGTTAGCATTAACGGAGTGTGTCGGGCAGTTTTAATGTATCATCTCAGCGAATCCTGGAAAGGAGGTTTGCAGAAGAAAAGCGTAGCTGGGACTTGTGTCTTAGGCAGGGATTTCCAGCAGCAGAGCCTGAGACCAGGATCCCAGGACACAAGATTCACTGAGGGACTGTTCTTCATGGGGGAAAATCTTTAAGGGGGTGAAGGGAGCCTAATAAAGAAGGGGAAAGAGCCTAGAAGAGCTGTGGATCAGGTAGTCTACTGCCTGCGCCGGGCCCTGGGGTGGGCTCACAGCGTAGACCTCACTGCAGAGCTGTCCCCTCCTCCGCTAGCTGTCAGATGTTTGTGAGCCTGCATCAGTCAGTCCTTGGGTGGGGCCATCCCTGGGTGTGCGGGAGATTGTGACCTTCAGAGCAGTATGGCTGCCACTGGCTAAGGACATTTCTGCAGAGGAAGCCAACTAGAAGGCAATAGTCATAGCATCTTGGCTGGTCCCAGAGAGGGCATCTGGGCAGGGCACAGTCTACCCCAGTGAGTGACTTGCCCCATCTCATAGCTCATGGGTGACACAGGTGGGATTTTAATTTGTATCTCCCTTGACAACAAGGTCTGGGTTCCTTCTAGAACCTCACACTGCTTCCTTCGAATATCAGCATTTTAAAGAAAACATGCGGTGTAATAGCCACAGAGCCAAAGGCAATGCAGGGAAACAGCCACTGACTGCTTCCCGGCTGCTGAGAGAGCTTCCAGTTTACCCCCAATCCCACCTCTCATTTCAGGGTGTCTTTGACCAGTTCTTCGGTCACCAATATGCCGTCACTGCAGATATGCCTAGGACAACTTGTTTGACACCTGTTTCCGTGATCAGTTGTTGCGTAGCCAGTCAGCCCCACATTGAGAGACCCAGGAGGACAATTGATTATCAGTCACCATTCGGAGAGCTCACTGATCTCTGCTGGCTGGGGCTGGAGTCAGAGGTTTGACTGGTACACTCGCATTGTTCACTGTTGTGTAGGAGCTTAGCCAGGGCTGTGGACTGAAGTGCCTTCCCATAGCCTCTCCATGGGGTTCTCCCAGAATGAGGGGTGGGTTGTGAGAGGGAGTGTTCCAAGAGCCAGCATCCCAGGAGAGGAGAAGTGAAGCAGCATCGCCGTGCCTCCATGTAGTCCATCAGATCAGCCCACATTCAAGGCCTAGAGGCGAGGACTCCGCTGTGATGGACAAGAGGCATGTGCCTCCAAAGGGGAGGAATGGATGGTGGCCATCCTTGGAAACAAACATCTATGAAATCCAACAAATCTACAAGTGGTCCTTGTTTTCCTGCAATTGTATCTTTAGCCCCTTGGACCTGATTCACCATCTACCTAGACTCGTCCCACTTTTCTGAACACATCAAGTGCTCATGACATGAGTCTTCACATGTGTTTTCCCCTCTTGGAATGCCAACCCCACCTTTTCATGTCGCTGATGTACCTCCCCAGCTCTGGTCAGAGTGTGTTCTCTGGGGCCCAAGAGCACTTGGTTCTTGCTTCTACCTTAGCGCATTCCTTACAAGTGATTGCTGAATACCCCTCACTGTCCCACTAGACTTTTCTTGGTCTGGGTAATCAACTCACTTCCACTGAATCCTCCACATCTAAACTCTATCATGCATGTTGGTAGAATAGATATAGTGAGAAATGCCCAAAATAAACCACTGTTTTTTACTCACTGTGCTGTTACATTTTAACAGTCTGGAATGCTATGGCACAAGGCAGAGTGAATTTATCTCTGCAAAGAGTAAGGTGAGTGATGGGTGTACAGGTGGATGTTTTCAAGTTTCTTAGAGGTCAAATCAGCACAAAACAAACAGTTTACAAGGCATTGGCCTAAGCATAACTTCTATTATAGAAACCCCAGGAGATGTGTCAGGCCCAGACAGGCAACCATTTATTAAGTACACACTATGTGTCAGTCACTTGCTAGGTGTTTTACCTGGGTGGTCTTAAACTGGGAACTCAAGGGTGGTAGGTGAGTTGGGTTTTGCTTTGTGACACTCTAAATGCCAGCAGCCTCTGACAATGCACATTTTCTTGTTCTCAGTCATGGAACTGTGGGTCACCTGGAGCAACTCTGCTTCAGGTCTGCCCCTTGGGTGTTTTTCTGGGACAGTGGCTCTGCAGGGCATGCTCTTCTCTTGGCAGAGTCTGAGAGAAGTGAAAGATGATAGACCAAATCACACATGCACACCTGCTCATGCCACATGCACTGGCCAAAGCGACTCACAAGGACACGGCCAACCTCAGTGGGGTGAGAAATACACTCTGCCTTCTGCAGAGTCACATGGCAAAAGGTATGAGAAAAAACCGGGAATCCAACCTGTCACAGTGACCTACTCAGCATTGCCTGAACAACTTCTCATTGTTTGCCAACATTTTTATTTTAAATATGTTTTTATTGATTTTTTTTTTAGAGAGAGAGATAGAAATGTCCATGTGAGAGAGAAACATTGATTGGGTGCCTTCTTCAATTCCCAGTCAGGGCCCAGGTTGTGGGCCCAATCCTTAGTGGGGGGCATGCAGGAGGCGGCCAATCGATGTTCTCTCTCATCGATGTTTCTCTCTCTCTCTCTCTCTCTAAAATAAATAAATAAAGAAATAAAATAAAATTTCTTGCTTCTCTTACAAACAAATCAGACATACCCAACAACAGCCTCACATTTCTAGACCCCTGCCAGAGTCCTGACCTCCCTGCTCCGATGTTCCCCAGCTTCTCACACTCGGTCCATTTCCGTCAGTGCCTAGCTTCTGTCGGCTACTGTATCTGATATACACTTGCTCTCTACTCCTTAAAGCCACATTTGGAAGTTGAATTATGGGCCCCATTTGACAGATGTGAAGACCGATGCTCACGCAGGTTAATTGGCACTATTTGTCACCTAGCAATAAGTGGTGAAGTGGGCTATGAGCCTGGGTCCTCGGGGCCAAGTCTATACTCCTTTTACCGAACCATTCTGGTTTAATAGGAGTCACAACAG